TCTATACAATCAAAGAAAAAAATACACCACAAATAAGGCAGGGATCATTAATAAGCCAAAAGACTCTTCATTTTTCATGTTTTCAAATGAATAGTTATCCATTAGTCCACAAACTCAGTGTTAAATCTTTCCAAATATAATGTGGCAAAGTGGAAAACAAAAAAAAAAAATTCAGGTTTTACAAACACCTAGCCAGTGAAACTCATTACTTTCTGTAGTAGAGATTTGTTTGGTGTTTGATTTTATAGCCACCATGTACTGAAAATCAAGTCAAGTGGGTTTTTATTGTCATTCCTCTGTATAGCTTGTATACATTAGAATGTCAGTTCTCCAGGACCATGGCGCACATAACAGCACACAAGGCTACATGAAGTGTGAGATGAGTGCCGGACAATAAATACACAGAACATGGACGGTAAACTATTGTGTAGTGTAGCAGCAATATTGGCAGCAGCGTGTCTCATAAATAAAAAGTGTGGTGTGCAATGTTTTTGGGTCATACTGGGTTAGGTGTTTGACTAGCCCAGGTGAGCATTGGCAAGCAGCAGGGTGTTGAGTAATCTGACTGCCTCAGGGAAGAAACTGTTGCAGAGTCTGGTGGCGGTGGCTCAGATGTGTCTGTACCTTCTGCCAGATGGCAGGAGGGTGAAGAGTTGATGGGATGGGTGAGCGGGGTCGTCTGCAATGCTGGTGGCTTTGCAAATGCAGCAGTTACTGTACGAAAATCCAAAGATTCTGCAGACCTTGCCTGCTGATCTCTCTGCTTATGGTAGGTGACTGAAAAGAAGACTTTCTTTACTCATGCTCATTGCTCATGCTCATTATAAGCAGGGTAGCATTCTTCCACCTTAGAAACATCGCTAAGATTAGAAATATGCTTTCGCTAAACGACGCAGAGAAGCTAGTTCATGCGTTCATCACGTCCAGACTAGATTATTGTAACGCGTTACTGCCTGGATGTTCGTCTAGGTGCGTAAATAAACTCCAGTTAGTTCAGAACGCAGCAGCGAGGGTCTTAACT